CTACCTCAACAGCAGCCCCTGCCATGCATACTTCCAGAATAGTGGCATAGAGGATCAGACACCCCAGATACATAAGGGAGGCCTGGAGCTACATAAAGAGACCCTGTCTCAAAAGCTATGGTACCTGTTTCAGGGCTCTCTCAGCCAGCAAGGTCTCATAAATGACACAGCATCATAGGGTGGTTGTTGTGCCCAGGATGATGGTGCTTTTTTACTCTAGGTAATGAGTTATCTTGGGGACAACTAAAAAGACAAAAGTTAGCTCATGTGTGTCTTCAGAGAAAATGAACTTCAGCAGGAGGTCTAACATGCTAACCTAGTGTGTCTGGGAAGTAGAACAGGACTGAGTCTGCAAGGACTTCACAGAACAGTAGGGAATAGCCATTTAGCACAGATAACTCTAAACCTTGACAGTTGTGATAGTTGGGACAGTGCAAGCAACAGGCAGTTATTTAGCCTCTGAAACCAGAGGTGTGTGTGGGCCATGAAACACCTGCCACTGAGACACTAGTCCTACACTGAAGGACGACTAGAAGAGTGGCCCTGTGCACACCTGTGCCTTGCCATGAGCTTGGGGTTTTACTGCTGTGTTCCCTGGAGCCTGCTACCTTGTAAGCAGTCAGATTCCTTGAGTGACCAGAGAACTAGGCTCCTGCCAACTGGTCCATCTTAGCACTGCACTGGAGTGGTTTCTGAGCTGTTCATTTCTGTGATGGTTTTCTTTGCAAAACCAAAAATACCCCCTTTTGTATCTTATGATGGTTCCATTGAAGCTAGTAATAGTTAAAATTCCATAGGAACAAATAATATTCCAGATCTTTCCAGCCCAGAACTTATACAGGATAGTTGATCTGTGTGTAAATTTTCTTTTGTGTTTTCTTTTGTCTTGAGATGGGGGGTCTCCACTGTAGCCCAGGCTGGCCTCAGACTAAGTCTTTCTGCCTCAGCCTTCCCAAGTGCCCAGATCATATGTAAATTTGAAAAAAGCAAAAAACTATTGTAGGCATTTCTTTGTGAAAAATAATGAAATTTTGTACTCCAAATGCAAAATTATTTAACCATGTCCCAAAGACCTCAGAGTAACTTTTAATTAACAGAGTTAAGCCACCAATTGTTTTCCCCATCTCTATCAAGTGTGAATGTGTGTTTACAGAAATTTTTGTTTTATTTTGAGTGGAGTGCTGTGCATGGCATTCTAGAGTATATGACTTTAAGCCCACATGGAGTAACTGTGGTGAAGATTGTTTTGCAAGGGAATTCAGCCTAAAAGCATAGTTAGGTAATAAAAGCTCTAAACTTCAGTTCTTGCCTCACCACTTACAAGTTTTTCAGTGAAGAAACATTTTAAAGGATAAGTGCTGTGAGCGACCCTTAATTAATTAATTCCATTCTGCAACACAGTTTGGCTCTCTGAGCTGCTGCTGGTGGTGCCGGGTTTGCCTCTGTTAAGGTCCTACTTCATCTGTCCCTACTCCGACGAGCCTGCTGCGCTGCCCCAGACCCACCTTTCAAGCTCCTCTTTCAGCTGCGGTTCAGCAGCTCAATGGCCCGCCCTCCCTCCCATCCACAGGAGCATAATCTCCCAGGTAGCCTCCTTGAAGGACCTCCAGAGCATGCTGTTCACAAACAGCAAGACAGCACTCTCACTAGGTTCCTAATCCCTCCAACACACAGGGGAAGGAGGTCACAGGGCTGTGAAAGTGAAAAGAAAAAAGAAGGGGGGCGGGCGGGCCAGGACAGCACAATGTCCACGCCGGTGCTCCAGCGGCTGCGCCACAATCGGCGCCAGCTGCAGCCCAATTAAGCTCAACAGGTCACAGGTGTTCCAAACAGAAGACTCTTTTAACAAAACTCCTTTCTGAGACTACCTAAGAATTTTTAAAGCACCGAGGCCCGTTTCTTTTGGTGGATTTTTTAAAAGCTATTTACTACACTTGAAATACAAAGAAGCTGAGATTAGGCCTCACTGGATGGTGTGCTTTCTTCCTGCCAAACAGCAGGAGTAGCACAGACAGCTTCTGTGCCATTGTGGGTTCAGTGTGCAGCTGCAAGGAAAGGAAGGTCTGTCTTCAGTGCAGTCTGAAGCCTGAGTGGGTAGCTCACTAGCTCCAGCAAGGAGCAGCAGTATGTCTGTGTCTTTGTACCCTAAAATCACCATCTCTCAGGTGCACAGGAAGTTGAACTACAGTGTTTTAAGCCATCCTGGGGAGTACTGTTAAGCAGGGTATGAATTCAGCTATCAAATACTTTTCCGAAGGAGAAGGGTGGTGGTTGAGATGTAGCTCAGTTGGTACAGTGCTTGCCCTGCATGAAGGAAGCCAGGGTTTGACCTCCAGCACAGCTGGACATGATGGGGGTTTGCCTGTGATCCCAGCACAGGGGAGGTGGAGGCAAGAGAATCAGCATCATCCTCAGCTACCTGCAGGTTCAAAGCCAGCTAGGATACATAAGATCCTGGTGAGTGGAGGATCATTTGGATGGCCTGAAGATGTGTGTCTTGGTGGTAGAGCACATGAAACACAGGTACTCCATTCCACCACCAAAATATAAGTTCGTTAGTTTGTTTTTTAAAAGGAACTGGAGAGGTGGCTGAGTGGTTAAGAGCACTTGCTGCCGTGTTTGGTTCCCAGCACCCACAAAGATCCAGAACTGCAATTCCAAGGGATTCAACTCCTTCTTCTGATCTCTCAGGCACCAGGCACACACGTGGTGCATATACATACTTGCAGGCAAAACACTCTTAAGCATAAAATAAACTTAAAAAAAAAAGTAGCCAGGCATGGTGATGCACGCCTTTAATTAATCCTAGCACTGGAGAGGCAGAGGAGGGTAGATCTGTGTGAGTTCAGTCCAGCCTGGTCTGCAGAGTGAGTTCCAGGCCATTGAGGGTGCTATTACACAGAGAAACCCTGTCTTGGAAAAAAAAAAAAAAAAAAAAAAAAAAACTGAGGGGGGAGGCATCTAAAGTCGCCTAGTCCTCTTCTGGCCCATTTAAACCTGGCTCTATTATCTCTACACCTATCTATTCTCTGTCCAGTCTAAGGTCTGCAGGGCGGCTCACCTATTTATTGATTGTGTCATCTTGAGGATAGCAGTGCTTTCTGAGCTAGTTTACCAGAAAAGTTAGCTAAAACCTAATGCTTACAGTCAGGAAGCAGCTCCTGCTCTTCCCCCCCCCCCCCCCCCCCCCCCCCCCACGCTTCCAGCCACTTGTGTGCATGCTTCCCTGTTGTCACTGTCACTGTGCTTGTCTGGTAGCAGAAAGTAGATTCACCCAGGCCATGCCTGGAAATGGAAGCGACTACTTAAGTTACTGTTTCTGATACTAAATGCACCAGTTCTAGTGTGAAGCCGAAACAAACAGGAGGAGGAAGAGGGACTCTAGCACACAGGAGATAAAGTCCAGGAAACTGCCAAGCATGGTCAAGTGTTCCTTCCTATTGACTACTTCTTATTAGACAGCAATGGCCTTGGCTTATTCTTTAGCGTGGTTTTTAAGAGTTGCTGTCTGCTCAGAAGCCATGTTGGTTCTGATTTTTGCTGCTGCCCTGCTTCTATTTTGCTATGCTGAGACACCTGTTCAAACCCGCTTCTTTGGTGGATTGAGGGAAGAACCATAGGCTATGTGTAAGAGGTTTCATGTTGTTTTCCACGGTGCAAGGCATTCAGAATTGCACACAATTGCCTCTTCTGCCCTTTGGCGTAGAGGTGAAATAACTCGATTTTACATGGTGTTCTGTTGGTCTTGTGTTTTTATTAGGAAACTGGTCAGCAGATATATTTTAACTGCTGAATGAATGAAAAGAAAATATGTGATGTATAGACACCAAATAAAGTGTGTGGTAGCCGCTGAAGTAAAAATATCTTAGTCTGGATCTGATAGTAAGATCTTGGCACAATCCAATAGTTTTTGTCTCATTTTCTTATTCCCACAAACATGTTTTCAGCCTCACAGCAAGGCACATATGAAAGTTTAGGTATTGATTATTTAGTCAAAACTGAATATTACACACTTATGTTTATAGCCTATTGGCAAAAGAGGCTCTCCCCCACACCCCCACCACCCCATTCTGGCAGCTTGCTAATAACTCCTTTAAAATATGTAGCCTGCACTGTCGTGGGGGAAGGGCAGGGTGCTAAAGAAATTCAGGCTGGCTTCAAAAATCATCTTTGCTAAAGAAGTTAAACTCAAGTGGCCAAGGATTTTGTTTCTGAGCAGGTTAATCTAATATTCCCAACTGTCTGTGAGTCAGATTGACCCACTTATCTACACATTTTCTCAGTAGAGTTCTCCTGTGGCCTCATGGGAAAGGGGGAAAAGTGAAATGAATCCCTGTTGCTGAAACAATACTAGACTTGTCTGGTTTGGGGTATGATGGGTAGTGCATATGTGCTTTGTAGAAACAGTCAAGTGATCAGTCCAGACCTCAAACACAAGCTCATCTCATGGGACTTTCTTTTTATAGACTTAATTATGTAAGCTACAAGACCAAAAAAAACAAACCTTAAGTTGAGTAACTCCCACAGGGATATGCTCATGATGCAGAATCACACCACATGTCAGAAGCCACCAAAGTCTCACCAACATGGCTGCCTGAATGTGACCTGAACAAGGATAACACCTATAGACATGCTACCATGGAAGGCCCACAAGGAGCTAAATAATGCTGAGAGCACACCAAATGGTCAGCCCTGAAAACATACGTACAAATAAGACTATACAGACTGAGCAAGTTGTACATACATATTTAGAACCACACCCACACCCCCGACACACACATCCACAATAATAACAAAGAAATAACAGAATCTGTGAACTTGAAAGAGGGTGGTGGACTACATGGGAGGTTTCAGAGAGAGGAAAGGGAGGGGGAAAGATGTAATTATCTCAAAAATAAAAGACTTTTTTAAATGTCACACCACAGATAAATATGTTGAAAATAGTTTGTCAACAAAGGAGTGCTGACTACTTTCTCCTCCTTTTACTTGTTCAATTTCAGATCATAGCTCTCTGCAAGGAGGCTGCTCTTCTGGCCCTGGAAGAAGATATTAAAGCTGACCGCATTATGAAGAGGCATTTCACTCAAGCCTTGAGCATTGTGACACCTAGAATCCCAGAGTCACTGATGCGCTTTTATGAAGATTACCAAGAGAAGAGTGGGCTACACACAGCCTAAGAAATGCATACTTATATGCATATATTTTGTAGAGAAAAGTTTTGTTTGCAAATTTTGTCTTGAGAGTGTTTACAGTTTCTTAATAGGTAAATGTTTGAAATAACCTCCCTGGAGTTGAAGAGCCTCACCTAAATGTTTTCGAATCATTCAAGTACAATAAACATATCTCTGGGCATGAGTTCAAACCAGTTTTACATTTTGATTTTCAACAACATACATTCATCCCTTGTATTATTTCTTTACTGCAGAATTCACCAGTTCTTTGCTTATAGATAGGATTTTATGATGCCTAGGTTGGCCTCCAACTCCGTAAAGCTGGAGGTGAACTTCAACTTCTGAATCTGTTGCTTCTGCTTCCCAAATGCTGGCATCACAGCTATATTTTGCAGTACTGTTGATGTGTGCTGGACCTTGAACCCAGGGCCCAGCACATGCTAGGCAAGTACCCTACCAGCCAAGCCACGTTTCCTCTCCCAAATCTGCACTCTGAAATGCCAGCCAGGTTTAGTTCCAGATGTGTAGTTCTCATTGCTCTTGGCACCTGCATTTGTGGCCAGAAAGCATGAAATTTTCACATACAGTGATAGGCTTAGAAAATTTAAAAGTATGGGTCCATCCAGTTTGAGGCCAGAACTGGACCCTCAGCTTTTGCTACAATACTGTAAGGAAATCAAAGTGTATGCCAGTTTTAATGTATACCTGTGTACAAGTTGTTCGTTAATCGTTTCAGTTAAAAAGAAAAACCTAAGAATCAAACAGGGCTGTCGAGATGACTTAGCAGGTAAAGGCATTTGCCACCAACCCTAACAACCTGAGTTTGGTCTCTGGTGGACAGAGAGAACCCATCAGGTTGTCCTTTGAACTTTTCACATGTGCACCAGAGCATGAACACACACACATACACACACAAATAAATGTCATTTAAAAATTAACAACAAAATTACAAATTTTACCTTGAATTCTGTTGGATTATGTTGTATTCTAAATATGTGTGTTTATGCCTCTAGTTAAATATCCTCAAAATTCCTTGACACTTTGATACTGCGTAAACCCTCTTTAAAAAACTGGCTGGGCGGGCAGTGATGGTGTGGTGTTAGTGCAAAAAAAGGAGATGGAAGGTCAGAGTTTAAAAAGATTTTAGAGCCAGGCAGTGGTGGCACACGCCTTTAATCCCAGCACCTGGGAGGCAGAGGCAGGCAGATCTCTGTGAGTTCAAGGCCAGCGTGGTCTACAGAGTGAGTTCCAGGACAGCCAGGGCCACACAGAAAACCCATCTTGGGGTAGGGGTGGGGATGACAAAACAGAACAAAACTCTGTCCAGGTGATCAGTGAGAACCTGGCAGCTAGTGTTTGAAAATCAGAAAGACAATTGTGTGACTGAAGATAGTCTGAAGAAGTGAGGAAGCCACATGACAGCTGTTCATCCTGTCACTGTCTGATACACTTGGCAAGACAGCATTGGTCACCAGTTCATAACACCACTTAAGGAAGAAAAGTGTTACTATTTAGTACTGTGCTGTCAAATATAAGTATTATATTTATTTAAATGAAATAATATCAAAATTTCATCAGCCATATTAGGTATACTTTAAAATGTGACCGTATAGAAAAATCCCATCATTCAGATAGTTTGGTTGGATAGTGATAACTTGTAAATTACCTTTATAACTGGGCACAGTGGTACATACCTATAATCCCAGCTTTGGGGAGGTACAAGTAGGGGATTATGAGCTTAAGGCCTGCCTGGGCTACATGAGACACTGGTGTTAGGATAAAGAAATTAGGCATACACAATGAGATAAACAAGGCCTCAAAACTACTTTTGTGCTCTCCACTTCCATTTTAGTTATTTGTGAATAAAATTATGGCAAGGAAGGACCTCACTTTCTTCCCACGTATGACTCAGAATATAAGAGGATAAGAGAAAAGCTAACTTTCCAAGGACTGGGCAAGAATCTGAAGAGAACACCTCTCCTCATGAAGTACAAACCAGAACTTGACTTGAGTCAGGTGGGGGAAAGAAAGATGTTGATCTTGACTAACAAAGGAGAGTGGGTGTTGTCACCACATGGGAAGCTGGAGTTGAGCCTCAGCTCTACATACTGCCCAGTTCTGAGCATACACACACACACCCCATATCCCCACACCCTCAGTGCAAGAGTAGACTAGAAGAGTTCTTCCCCTGGCAGAGGGAACCACAGGCACCTCATACTTGCCCTGTGCTTTGGATATTTGAAAAAGGCCTACTAGGGATTGTGCCCACAGACTTAACCACAGTGTTGACGTTTGAACTCACACTACTTCAGATTCCCACGAAAGCATACATCCACAAAAGGACTGTCTTAGGGTGGCTAACAGCCCCACTAGTGAAGATGCCTACACCCTGGCTACTGGAGGTTCTGAGCAGATGACATCCCATAGAGAAGCGTTTGTAATCTCCCAAGGATGAGCAGGAGAACTTCGGACAATGCCATGTAATTCGGTGCAGCCACCTCAGAAAGCAGCTCAGGAGTCTTAGGTCTCTGGGTATGCACAGTGACTTCAATTCAAAGACCTTTAAAAGAGTGGGCCTCTACCTGTAATGGCAGTTGAGGAAGTGTAAGGGAAGGCATACAATAGAACACAGTGACAATTGAGAATAATTAGAGATCCACATGAGACAGTTGAATTCAAAGCTGAAGAGAAATACCTTAGAGAGTGTAAAGCATGAAGCTGACTGTAGGTTTAAGCCTGCCTACACGACAAGACCCTGTCTCAAATAGAATTACATGTTGTTTATGGGGACTGTACAAGTAAAAAGGAGACATCAAATAGGTGTTGCGGAGAGGCAAAAGCTGCAGTTCTTATATTGTGTTAGTTGCTTCAGTTATTAGCTGAGTGACAGTAATCCAGGTGTCATTTTTTTTGTAGTTGTGCCTGAATATGTGTTGCTAATTTTATAAGTAGGCCTTGAACATCACAGTCATTTAATTACATGGACTTACATCTCAATCCAGGGTACCTACACCCTGTCTAAAGACTCAGGATCGCTGTGTTCAAGGATAAAATGCAGAGTAAATAAATAAGGTGCAAGAAGAGATGGAGACCTAGGAGACCAGTGGAAAGAAATGTGTTGATGGAAGTTAATGCCTTAGCAGTAGATCTGTTTCCATGGTGCTGTGGTGTTAGTGCAAGAAAGGAGATGGAAGGTCAGCGTTCAAAAAGGTTTTAGAGCCAGGCAGTGGTGGCCTATACCTTTAAGATTTTAGAGCACTAATTGTAGAAACAGAAGTTCTGGGTGATAAAGTTCTTAGTGACAGTATCATTGACATGACTCAGCCATGACAAAGATTCCTAAGCCTCACACCTATTGTAGATTGGCAAAGCCATTCCCCATATGGGCTAGGCTCAAGAGGAGTGGCAAAACTTTCCTGGGGGTTCTAGTGTTAGCAAGTGACCAGTGTGCACAAAAGCTAGCCGCTGCAGCTCCCCCTCCCTGTTTGCAGCCAGAGTCATGGCCTGTGAGGTACCACCTGCGAAGACTAGCCACACCCTCCCCTTGTGCTGTACATAATGGACAGTGAGGTTCTGGGTTGCTGACAGTAGTGGATGCCCTCTGTCAGTGTGCAGAGCCCCACCTGGCCCCAGCTGTCCTGTATATGTGTCTGTGTGCCTGTCCTCCATTCCCTCCCTCACCCTAGTCAGGTTCCAGGACCCAGGCTGCACACAGGAGTTGCAGTAACCCACCCTGAAGCTTTAGTCCTAAATCAAGCTGTTCTCTTATTCGACTTGTGCCCTTTTTATACCAGTACTGTTACAAAGCACACAAAAGACCAGGCCAGATGTCAACACTACTTGTTTATGCCAGCTTTGCCTTAAGGGTTTCATTTCTGATACCAAAGGCTCATGTTTAGGGACAAGTGGTACATGATCATGCTATTTGTGTTTGTTGTGATGGAATGCATAGTACAGGTCATGGCCTATTTAACAAGAAAATGGCTAGCTTCTTGTCCTCATATGGTTTACTTTTTGGCATCTGGTCAGGAGTTTGTCCTTGTTCTACATTTTTTTTTTCTGATTGAAATTTTGAAGAATGGCTTCCACCCTTTATCTCTAATGTGTGAAACAGTTTTCAAAGGAAATGTATAGTTTGTTTTTGCTCAGTTTAAGACTAGGTCTCACTCTGTACTCAAGCTGGTCTTAAACTCAAGGCAAGCCTGCTGTCTCGGTCTCCCAAGTCCTGGGATCACAGGCTTAAGTATCTGCCGAATGTATGATGATCAGAAAGAAGCTAACTATAGGAAGCAGAATGGAATTATCATCTGGTCTGTCACTCCGTAAATGAAGCCCTCGGGTCCTTGCTTGTTTTCTCCTCCTTCTGGAGTCCTGCCTGGAAGTGCAAACACACACCTGGTTACTCTCTAGAATCAGGTGTGGCTTACACTAGAGTGAGTTCAGGGGTGTTTGACAGCTTAATGCTCTGTTTACTTGCTTGCTCCTCCCACGTCAACCTGGGTGTATCTCAGAAAACACAAATAAATTCCTTATTTGAAAGCCACAGAGTACTGTGATACTTTAGTAGCATTTTACATGTAGCTTCTGGACCCCAGAAGCATTAAAGCCTGACCAATATGCATATTAAAAGTCAGTTGAATGTTACTTAAGTGAAGGAATAGAAGGAATACCAGAAGGATAGGGCTAAAGGAATAGACTCAAGATAGCAATTAAAATACTGGACCAGTACAATCCTCATGATGAGAGGTATGACAGAGTTAAGATGATCTTGGAATGGGGAATAACCACAGTTTGAAATCCCCCACATGGACCTAGAAGCAGAGACTATGCCAGTAATCTAGTAGGGACCAAAAAAAAAAAAAAAAAAAAAAAAGCTATAACACACTGGGGGTGGGGGGATGACATTTTCTGAGAACAGGAAAAGAATAGACTAAACTAAGGATGGGAATTAACAAAGATAATCCCTCCAGGCACTACCCTTTGAATCAGAAATCCTACTCTGTTCTGCAAATCCTTGGGGAGAATGGCAAAGGGAAAGCTTCCAGCCTTGTTTGCATAATAACAGTATTCTAAGCTCAATTACCTAACAGTAAGGAGTGATTTAAATCTATGTATCTAATCCATACAGTAAAACATTATGCTGCCATTAAAAAGGTAGGAAAGTTCTCCTTGTCCCAAGGTAGAGTAACAATTCACAGCAAATGTGTTTGAACTACATACACTAGCATCTCACACAGTTATGAGTAGTCTCCAGATGTTTGCAGAAATGATGCAATTCAGAAACCATGTGATTCATTCTGTCTAACTACATAGTAGAGAAGCCAAAACCCAGTATAGGAACAATACATAAACAATTTAAATGATTCCTTGGTCAAAGAAAAAGCCACTCTGTAGATGTGAAAAACCATGTGAAGATCAGTGCATTAGTGAGCACCACACAGTGGTTGACACAATTAGCTGAACTAAGGATTCCACTGAGGGGGGGGGGGGGGATAAAATTAGCAACAGGGAGAAGATGAACCTTAAAGTAGAAATTAACACATGAAAAACAATAGAAATGACTGAGCCATCAGTGCAGTCTTTGGAAGGCAGAAACCCAAAACATGCTCCTCTGTGTGTGTTAGAATGAGCCCTTATAAATGTGTCTGTCCTCCTATCCCTAAATGGATGTGTGGCATCACTTTCACCTGGCCCGAGGGACAATCCTGGACTTCCTAGGTAGACCTGCTGTAATCACGAGGGTCCGAAGGGGTGTGAAGAAGCACAGCTGACTGCAAGCCAAGGAGAGCAGGGCTCCGGAAAAGGCCAGGGCACTCCAGAGTCCTCAGAGCGACCTAGTAACCCATCAGTTAATCACAACTCCACGACCCATGTCAGATCCTGTGAGCTAATGGTCCCTTTGTGTCGCTTTAATCCACTGAAGTGGCAATACATGATAGCAGAAACAGGAACCAATACAACTTCAGCTGGATCTTTAGAAGATGACAAATAGAATTAGAAGAAAAACGAACCACGGTCAAGAGAAAATGTAAAATCAGGAAGTTGTGTAGGTTCAGGCCAGTATGTGAAAACAAGCACAGCCAGCAACATGAACCAGCAACTCCAGCACAAAGGCCTGCTCACAACTCCTGCTTCATCAGGTCCCGGAGACCTGGTGGATGCTTGGCACAAGCCTTGTCATAACAAGGCTTGCCACATGATACACACCCCTAGACTTTGACTGTCAGCTCTAACAAAATCAGGTCGCTTTCCAATTCATACACAAGTCTCATCTTTTTTCCCAACACTACCCAGAGAGTTCCATTCTGCAAACTTTACCTCCTCAAGTACTGTCCCAGACTCCCTATTGAATCCTGCAAAGGATTTGTCCTGTAATTGATTTGTCCATCTTGGCTATCAGTACTCATACATCTGTTCCTCTGTGTGCCTCCAAGGCCCTGCCACTCTGCAGCAAGAACCAGTCTGTGACCTTCCCTGGGACCCCTGAGCCCACTGTGCCCTCCATTATGGTATCACTTCATTTGGTTGTCTTAACCGTTTTCATTGTAGAGCAGTTGTGCTTTCATTTTTTAAAAACGGAAAGTTCCTAGTTTCGTGTTTGTGTCTATGTAGTGCAAGCGTGCATGTGCCAGTGGGCAGATAGAGTTCAGAGGACAACTTTCTGGAGAATCTGTTGTCTCCTTTCTCGGGAGATCCCCATCATTGAACTCGGGTTTGTCAGGTTTGCGGGGCAAAGGCTTTCACCAGCTGAGCCATCTTGCCGGCCCTGTACTGCGTTCTTTTAACCAATTATCCTTGCCCACAAAAGAGCTTTTTCTCCCGTGAGAAAAGTCAACAGCATCGGTACGTTTCACATGACCAAGGTTCCAAAAATACATTCCACCTTAGGAGAGCCTATTACTGATGAGAACGGGAGGTATCAACTGCTCTGGCAGGGCAGAGACCCTGAAACAGCAGTTCCCCAAATGTTCTTGCTGGAGGCTGGGAATGCAAGAAGTCTTTCTGATTCCTGCTTCTTGGTTAGTGTCAAGGAGCACCTGGTCTACCATTGTTCCCAGGCTGCGCCCTGGTCTGGTCTGGGGGAATGGGAGGTCTGTACATCCCTCTTCCCTTACTTCCTGGTGCATCCGTGGAGAAGCCGGGCAGACCGCATGGGCCAGCAGCAGCACAGCCTTCTTCTTGACAGAGTGGTTCACATTCCTCTTTTGTTTCATTTTACTCTGGTTCTTCCCTGTGGTCTCAACCGGCCTAGCACTGAGGATGAATTCCATTTGGAAACACGCTGGGGAAGACGGCAAAAGAATTTTGGCAAAATCACAAAATGGGAATAATAATACAGAGATCGGAGTGGAACCCTCGCCCACCTCACCCGGGTGCTGGGAGAATTAATTAAGGTCTGTAAAGGCCTTTGAGTTCCTTGGGGGGACGTGCCACCAGACAGCTAGCGTTATTGTGGAGGGATTATGTGCACAAACACAATACCAGGAGCCAGGATATTACTAAAAATAAAGCAGACTTTTCTGTGAGGACCGCAAGGAAGGAAATGCCTCGCTGGAAAAAGCTTAACTGTCCTTTAATACCGTCACTTGGATCGCCAGGGGTAGAACAGCAAAGCTCGGATTCCATTGTAAGGGGAGGATTATGTTTTCTGAGCATTGTCAAGATGCTGGGGAACAAAATAAAATCACTGCTTTGCCAAAAGAAGGTTAGAGTCTTTGGAAAAGAGATTAAGGGACTGTTTGGCTAGTGCACTTCATAGCCTGTCCTGGGGGGGGCTGAGGGGGGGAGGCAACAGGGAAGCAAATGTTTGTTTGTATTTGAGGGGAAAGAGTTTGTGTGTGTGTGTGTGTGTGTGTGTGTGTGTGTGTGTGTGTGTGTGTGTGTGTGTGTGTGTGTGTGTAGAGAGAGGGAATTGCCTCAAATGAAAGCCACCATCTGCAGTCCTCCTCAGGAAATCTCACAGAATTCTCTGTGTATTTTTCCATCTGCCTGTCTCTCACGCAGCCACTTCCAAATCCCAGTTTTAAAACCAGGAAGAAGTAAGCCTGCTTATGTATTTGCAGAGGAAGACCACGTTAACGTTGGGGAAAGAACAAGCCAACTCCTCCATTGTCCATCTTATAAACCGTCAGCGGGCCGGGGTCAGGCGGGTTCCTATGGAGTTTGAGAGGTCTGGCCTCCTGGGTTAACAAAACTGCCTGCCCAACGGGGAAGAAACCCTGTCCTGTTCCCACTCCCTCCTTCCGTCCCCTTTCCTTCTCTTTCTGCCCCCTTATTTTGTAACAAGGCCTCTGGGGCCTGAAGCAGATTAGCAAACAAATAAATCCTTTAATGTCCTGAAATACTTTCCCAGTACAAATGTGATTAATTGACCAACCCAGCAAATTTGGCACATCAAATATCCTGGCTGTAGAAAGCCATTTCTTCAGCCCCGCTGCTTCATGGCCAAAAGGTCATGTTATTTTAATGCTTGTATTGATTGGTTAGGCTTTCTTCCTCCATTTCCTGTCTCTGAAGATGCACTCTCCGAAATCTTTAGGAAGCAGCACCCAGTGGCACACAGAGGAGGGGCCGCCTTCCTGATGCCCAGGCATTGAAGCAGGGGGTGAGGACTGATGCTGCCACAGTGAGTGCTCACTCACCGTCAACATGGCCATCATGGGAATCTGTCCTTCCTCCGCAGACACCACTGGCTCATTTTAAGAACTGGAATGGACCTGGGTTTGAGGTGAACAGAAAGGGCAGATCGTGTGGTCTCTGACCCTAGCATTAGAAATTGAGTGTCTCTGAACACATGTCACCCAGTGACTTACCCAAAGTCACACAGTCAGGTGGGTGGTTCCAGCCACTAGGCCCTCTGCTTACCAATACGGCTGTTCCCACCAGCCACGTACCTCCCTGTGGGAAGCATGGAGAGAAAAGACTATTTTGGGTTATTTACATGAAACCTTCATGTAAGCTCTGGTTCACATTGATGCTTCCTTTTCTCCCCCTCAGAAGTTGGACAACATGGGTCCCTTGACATTCATAGGTTCTCTGGTTAAGGAGTAGGTCCTCTGGTTATGGTTGATAAAACTGGGAGACCCACAGTTGTGGAGAGCAGAGGGTTCCCTCTGTGACCACACAGGACCTCCACCAGGCCTCTGCACTAACGCGGACGGAGTAATGGGGTGAGGCCTGAACTCAGATCCATTGCTGGGGAACAGTGAGGAGCTTTGTATGGCAAAGCAGCAAGGCAGTGTAGCAACTATGAGAGTCCCCCAAAGACTGCACCCCGTGCCCTTTGCATGTTCTAACACTTATTAAACAGTATGTGCACCTTAGGAATAAAGAAACACTAAGGCAAAAGCAGAAAATAGTGTCTCATCAATGTGGATTCTTTGGTGGTCCTGTCAGGGAAGAGGATCACACAGATGTACATTACATTTAAAATAAGTGAGGCTGGGTGTGGTGGCACACACACTTAATCCCAGCACTTGGGAGGCAAACTTAGGCAGAGCTCTGTGAGGTCCAGGCCCAGTCTGGTCTACACAGCAACAGGGA